CGACAAATGGTGTCCTGGGGTATTTCCTCCCAGATCTGGACCAGGGCATCATTGAGCTCCTGGACAGTCTGAGGTGCAACCTGGCGGCGTCAGATGGACCGAAACATGACATCCCAGAGGTGTTCTATTGGAGTTAGGTCAGGCGAGTGTGGGGGCCACTCAGTGGTATCAATTCCTTCATCCTCCAGAAACTGCCTGCATACTCTCCCCACATGAGGCCGGGCATTGTTGTGCACCAGGAGGAACCCAGGACCCCCTGCACCAGGAGGAACCCAGGACCCACTGCACCAGGAGGAACCCAGGACCCACTGCACCAGGAGGAACCCAGGACCCACTGCACCAGGAGGAACCCTGAACCCACTGCACCAGCGTAGGGTCTGACAACAGGTCCAAGGATTTCATCCCGATACCTAATGGCAGTCAGGGTGCCATTGTCTAGCCTGTAGAGGTCTGTGCCTCCCTCCATGCATATGCTTCCCCAGACCATCACTGACCCACCACCAAAATGGTCATGTTGAATGATGTTACAGGCAGCAGAACGTTCTCCACGGCTTCTCCAGACCCTTTCACGTCTGTCACATATGCTCAGGGTGAACCTGCTCTCATCTGTGAAAAGCACAGGGCGCCAGTGATGGACCTGACAATTCTGGGGTTCAATGGAAATTGCCAATCGAGCTCTATGGTGCTGGGCAGTGAGCACAGGGCCCACTAGAGGACGTCCCTCAGGCCACCCTCATGAGGTCTGTTTCCGATTATTTGGGCAGAGACATTCACACCAGTGGCCTGCTGGAGGTCATTTTGTAGGGCTCTGGCAGTGCTCAGTCTGTTCCTCCTTGTACAAAGGAGCAGATATCGGTCCTGCTGATGGGTTAAGGACCGTCTATGGCCCTGTCCAGCTCTCCTAGAATAACTGCTGTCTCCTTGAATCTCCTCCATGCTCTTGAGACTGTGCTGGGAGTTAGAAAACCTTCTGGCAATGGCACGTATTGATGTGCCATCCTGGAGGAGTTGGACTGCCTGTGCAACCACTGTAGGGTCCAGGTATGGCCTCATGCTACCAGTAGTGACACTGACCCTAGCCAAATGCAAAACTAGTGAAAAACAGTCAGAAAAAATGAGTAGGGAAAAAAATGTCACTGGCTTCCACCTGTAAAACCATTCCTGTTTTGGGGGTCATCTCATTGTTGCCCATCTAGTGCACCTGTTGTTAATTTCATGAACACCAAAGCAACTGAAACTGATTGACAACCCCCTCTGCTACTTAACTGGCCAGATCAATATCCCAGGAGTTTCATTGACTCGATGCTATATTCTGATTAAAAAGTGTTCATTTAATTTTTTTGAGCAGTGTACTTTAAGTCCCTCCCACTAGCCCTACGCATTACGTAGCAGCAGGGCAGTGGTCCCTGTACTATGCTGCCAGATTAACACATACAACCGGTGCCGCTGTGTTGTGCTGGGAGCACGCTCAACCCACACCCCCATCATTGTGACTGCGCTGTCACTCACAGCTCTCATCTAGCATTGATCAGCGATCACATTATCAGGAGCCCATCCTACTGGCCTCAGACGTTAAGATCCCCTTAAAGGCCCAGCTCCTGGTGAGAAAAATTGGGTGAAAATGTGAATTATGCAAGAAACCTGCAGCCTTGCTACAGGTCTTGTCTGAAAATGTGCACTAATACTGATGTGGTTTCCATGATTTGTTGCCAGAAACAGGTGTCTACTAGGACCTCCTCACCCAATCCCAACTAAGGTGGAGTCAGGCCCCCTCCCACAGTGTCCTAGGTGCTCCCCATGATTGTGGTACAGCTCCTATGGAGGGACAGGACAGTGCTCATACCTGTCTGTATTAATTGTTGAGAATTACAATTCTAGGATAACAGTAACTACAAAAGTCAGTGATTTGGGCTGGAGAGGGGTGCACTTTTTTGCAAGAGTAAAAACAACCAAATTTTAGCTGAGCAGAAATCTGTGGAAGTGGAATGTAACAAACAATGACTTCAAAACTGTGAGCTCCACAAAAAATGAACACACAAACTCAACCCAACATCTCATGTACAAGTTAACGGCTGAGCAACACGACTGAGCGTCTTCATTTGTAACATGCCGGAAAAGAGTCAGTGTTTGGTTATGCTCCAACGTAACGTTCTCGGCACCAGTAGTCGCTTTCAATCACCCTTATGGGCCCATTTATGTCTCATTAACGTTGATCCCAGTGGACGCAGAAACATTAAGATCTGTAATTGATACAGGTGAGTTTAATTACAAATAACAAGAGCAACACAAAAACTTAAAATTCAATTATTTCTGACAATTTTCTGACAAGGTGACAATGTTTTGTCCAGTATATAGATAAATATCGTGCTGCGCTCCTCTATTATTATCATCAAAAACACATTGATTACGTGTAAAAAATAAACTAACATAAAATCTAATATAAATAAAGTGTGAAAAAAACAAAATGTGAAAAAAACAAATGTCCACTGTGCTTTTACAATCCCTTTATACTATGGAAATAAATGTATCATTGTATATCCAGAGACTGATACATAAGAGTCCTCTTTCTTTTTGAGAAATCTGTGCTAATTAGATGAATACACTCCAGATTCCAAAAACGTTTGCAGCATAAATACAGCTCTATCATGCGCTCACCTCCGTCTCCAGCCTCAACAGGCTAAATCACGCAGTTTATCCTATAAAAGGATGAAGCATGCTTGGCTGCTTATCACCTTCAAACAATCTCTCCAAACCGCAGTTTTCCTGGTTAACCTGGTGTCACTCCTCTCCTCATTATCTTGTATGGATCTATGGGTGTGTGGATGGATGGATGAATCTTCCCTCCTTCTCCCCTCCAGGGGAACAATCCTCCAGAATTACTCCAGCAAACTCCACATATATAATTGCAAAGAAAAACAGAAGATAGTGCTTTATTCTTATAAAACTCCTTTTATTGCCAAACTCTGTCTGTCACACTCACATTTTCATTAAAATAAACAAGCCTTTAACCTCCCTGGCGGTATTCCCGAGTGTAGCTCGGGGTAAAATGTCTGTACCAAAAGCGGTAACCCCGAGCTACACTCGGGCTTACCATGCAGCGCTGCATAGGGAGTCACTCCAGCACTTACCTTGTCCTTCGCTCCCGCGATGTGTCCCCTGCAGCGTCCCCGGCCATCTCCTCCGGCTGATGCTGGCATCCGGCTCCTGTGTTCCGGTCCTGTGACGTTGGGATGTACGCCGGCGGCGGGAAATTTGAAAATTTAAAAAAATTCTTTTTTTTGCAAAACAATTTTACATAGTAAAACATTGCTGTTTCAACCCATTTCACATACATTTTGTCCCGAGTGCTCTGTCCTGTCCCCTGCCTGCATTTTTACTGTTCTTTCTGCCTGGAAACTTAGAAAAGTCCATGGCGTCCAAAAAGTGTCCCTTTAGATCAAAAACGGGTTTAGATCAGCTAGAGAACAGCGATAGTAAATCAGAACCACTTGCAGAATTGAGTGATAATGATTCGTGGGGAAATTCGTCATCAAATACTGAAAACGATTCTGCGACTTTGCTCAGCGATGTGTGAACTTGGCGCTATATTTCACATTTCAGTGTTTTTGGTTTGATTATATTATTGAATTAAATGTATTATTATTATATTATTATTTTTTATGATTATTTATTAAATTATAATTTATGATTTCGTGTTTCAAATTTTATCATACCCGGGATGTTTACTAGACTCTTGTTCGGACAGATTTCAGTGAGTTATTCCTAAATATTACAGCCTACAATAAAAAAACTACATATTTCCATGCAGAATAATGGTACCGCTTTCAGCACCAAAAATCTGAAATAATCATACCGCTAGGGAGGTTAAGAAGAAAAGGTAGCAGTGTGTTAACACACACTGTGTCTGTACTCGCCAGAAAAGCCGACTGCACGCGGTAACATCAGAGTCCCTCCCCTACGCGTTACGCCACCGGTCACGTGGCTTCATCAGGGGGAAATGAATGTTTTGTCCAGTAAATTTTTAGGGTTTTGCGTGGAATGTGTCAGATTTGGCTTTTTTTTTCTCCACTCTTTTGTATCCTACCAATACAAACAAAAGAAATAAACATGAGAATGCCTAAACCTTTGTAATTGGAACACATTGGATATTTTTCTGCCTGCTCCTGATCTTTTGACCTCCTGTTGCTGAACTTTGCCTGTGACCCGACTATCCTTTTGACTGCTGCTCTGACTCCGTTCTGCCTCCACGGTTACTAGCCTGTCTGACTCCGCTACTTGCTTCACGATGTGTCCGCATCCATCCATCCTGCATGGATCTATCCGTTTACCGCTCAGGTCTTCCCTGCCTCTTCACATCAGGCTCTTACCAAGCTACGTTCCACTAGCGGTTCTCTCTACCACGGTTGGGTGTACCCAGGTCTCAGCCTGCTCCAAGTCCATCCCCACCATCAGGGGCTCTGGTGAACAAGCAGACTGGGGCTTAGACCCCGCGCCTTGGGGAATACCAGACTGTGGACCCATAGGGATACCGTTAGAGAGTTTGTGACAACCATGCCCCCTGCAACATCTTCTCCTCCCACTGTAGTGCAAGCAGGCACAGCCTCCATGAGAGTGGCAACTCTGCTCTGAAATCAGGAGCAGTGCAGCATCATTACCACTCCACACCATCACAAGACGCTGCAGTAGGTGGGTTTCACTGGCAGGATGAACAGGTATTTGTGAGACTTTTCAGGGGGACAAATCTGTAATTGCACTTGGACACATAATTAAGTACTGCAGCAAGATTATTTTTCCAGTTGGATGCCGTATCTCTACTTTAATATTCTTGTATGATTATGGGAAATTATTATGTAAATACCACCTATAGATTTTTTTTTAATGTACCATAACTTACATTTTGGTTATGCCGGACCTGTACATTATCATGACACAAAAAAAAAATATCTATTGTAACTAGTATGTATTGAAGGTGTTGATTTTTTCCAATTCCCTTTTACAGAATGGAAGAAACAGCTGAATTCCTCCAAGAAGCAGATCCATATTTTTCTTTTGGGGTGATTGGAGACGTCCAATACAGCCCTAAACCCAATGGACTGAGTTCGTGGAGAGTCATGAGATACTTCCAGCAGAGTCTCCTCCACCTGCAGCAGGCCATAGAAGAGTGGAACAGGGAAGACCCTTCACCTAAATTTGTATTGCAGCTTGGAGATATCATAGATACCTCCAACCGTAAATTGGGTAGATCGGTGGAGGCACTTGAGACAGTTCTGAAGGAAATTGAACAAACAAGTATTCCTTTTCATCACATCTGGGGGAACCACGAGCTCTATAACTTTAATCGGGATTTCTTGAAACGGTCAAAGCTAAATACATCATGGATGCATGAACAGCAGAACGTCCACAGTGAAAGGCACGATGAAACCGGCAGTCATCCGGACTACTATGCATATCACTTCAGTCCTCACTCCAAATTCCGCATCATTGTAGTGGACACCTATGATTTAAGCATCTTTGGCAGAAAGAAGGACAGTCAGGGATATCAGGACTCTTTAGACTTTCTCGAAAAAGCTGAAGAAGGTGAACAGAATGGTATGTAGAAAAGACCAGAGTCACATGGGATAAAACTGGCAGTATATAGAGGTTTCCAGGGGCGGACTGACCATTTGGAAACTTGGGCACCGCTCGAGGGCCCGGGGTCAGTAGGGGCCCCATGAGATGCTCCTGGTACCTTTTTCATAGGCTTTTTTGAGTTTGGGCAAGGACACAGGGGCCCCATGATCCCCTATTGCCCAGGGGCCCCATGAGTTGTCAGCCCGCCCCTGGAGGGTTCTAATTGCTAAGCTGGACCACCTCCTTCAGTGTTCATACCTACAATGACATAGTGTAAGCTCCACGTCATAATGGTTAGAGCTCACAGGGGCCTAAGGACCACCCCTCAACCCCATATAGCAGCACTTGGGCTTTCTTTTGGCTGCTCAAACACCTAGTACTGAATCATGGAAGGAAAGAAAAAGACTAAAATTTCACTTGTACTCGGAAATATGGGGAATTTTACTTGCAGTGAACAGGAAAGTTGGGGGAATGCTTAATGCAGCTCTATCACTGTAATGTAATACAAGACCATTAATACTCTCCTGTCCCACCTCATGTCCTGATTTCACTCTCCACTTTTTGGAGTATTGAATGCCTGATCCCCCTCTGCACCCTGAGGTTTCTCCCATAGACCCCCTGTTATTACAGAACACAGTACCAAATAAAGCAGTGACAAACAGGTCAGCGGAGAGGACCACTGCATGTGCCAGGGGAGGTGGGCATCCAACACTCCTAGACAGGGGCGTCCCTAGGGTTGGTGTCACCCGGTGCGATAACACTTGGTGACACCCCCTCCGACGATCCCCGCAGAATAGATTGGATCTGCAGATTGAGCATAATGGATCAGAGTCCGATCCATTATACTCAATCCACAGATCCAATCCATCCTGCGGGGATTGTCGGCTTTGTTTACAACCTACCTTTTCGTGGAGCGGATCCGGTGTCACCTCATATAGGTTGCATGCCGACAATCCCGCGCAGGATGGATCGGATCTGCGGATTGAGCATAATGGATCGGAGTCCGATCCGATTAAAACTCTACCTCAACACCAATTCTTCCAATCTTCACTCTACTCAAGAGTTCCCGCTTCAAGCACTATCTTAAACATTCCACACTTCTAGGAGCAGTGGGGTCCCAAGGCAGGTGCGGGGGGTTGCGCTCTGCATCGTGTGACACCGACCACATGGGGTGACACCGGACGTGCTCCACAAAAAGGTAAGTTGTAAAGCAAGCCGACGATCCCCGCAGGATGGATCCAATCCATCCTGCAGGGATCGTTGCCTTTCTTTACAACTTACCTGTTTCGTTGAGCCGGTCTGGTGTCACCCCGTATAGGTTGCATGCCGACGATCCATTATGCTCCCCAATCCGCAGATCTGATCCATCCTGCGTGGATCGTCGGCATGCAACCTGTACGGGGTGACACTGGACCCGCTCCGCGAAAAGGTACGTTGTAAAGAAAACCAACGATCCCCGCAGGATGGATTGGATCCGTCCTGTGGGAATCGTCGGCTTGCTTTACAACTTACCATTTCGCGGAGCGGGTCCGGTGTCACCCCATGCGGTCGGTGTCACACGATGCGGAGCGCACCCATCGCACCTGCCTCGGGACGCCACTGCCTGTACCTACTGACTGCTTTTTTCTGTTTTATTTGTGCATTCCTATATAATGGTGACCCTTCAATGTTATGTTCAGGAAAGAGAATGGAAATGTATTCAAATAAAGCAGGCCATAGATTATACGGGTGGAAGGAATACAAATTGCTCAATTCCTTCATCAACATAGTCCTTTTTGTGGAGCGGGTCCGGTGTCACCCCAGGCGGTCGGTGTCACATGATGCGGAGCGCACCCCCCGTACCTGCCTTGGGACGCCACTGCTCCTAGAAGTGTGGAATGTTTAAGCTAGTGCTTGAAGCGGGAACTCTTGAGTAGAGTGAGGAAGAATTGGTGTTGGGGTAGAGTATTAATGGTCTTATAGGGTGCGTTTTGTGGAAAGTGTTTTTGGTGAGGTAAGTATGAATAGCAATGGGCCTGGACTGTTATATGGAGCTATTTGTTGCCCTTATATGCAAAGTACAGGTTCCATTACAGGAAACTACCTTACTTTAGAAGCAGACGATTGTTAGTGTATGCTGATGTTATATCTAAGGCCAGCCATACATGGGTGGATTTTTGAACGATTTTTAATTTGAAAATTGGACCTAAAAATAATTGGCCGATTTTCGCTTTGTTAGTGGGGCAATGGCACCGGCCGATTTTCGTGGTTCCTCCCCATTTTCGTTTATCAGGCATGCTGGAAAGTTGTGTAAAATGACCAATTTTTTAAATCGGATTACAGAATGAACAATGTTTTCGATTTAAAAATCATTCGGAATTCGACCCATGTATGGCCTGCTTTAGATCTAATATTTCACATTTTAGCATGACAACCCTTAGGACCGTGTCCCACTGAGATGAAAGAATATGTAAACCCAACATTTCCTGATATGTGCTCGCTGTACCATGTATTTGTATGAAAAGTATCCTGTTCTCTTTGTATTGCCTCCTTTGTGTGAATCCCTGGTGTTCCTGCCAGTCCTTCTGCTTTCCTAATAAAAACTGAGCACACTAGGCATGACAGCATAGTGTGGTCAGTGTTCTAGCTCTTTAGAAAAATAGTGCAGCGCTAAGAAATAAAATATATAAAAAGAATGCATAATCAAAAATAATGCAAATACATTTTTTTTATTTTTTATTATACATTCTTTTTTTATTATTATTATTTTTGATTATACATTCTTTTTATATATTTAATTTCTTAGCACCGCACTATTTTCTAAATGACTTGTATGGCTTTAGGGTTCCTTTTGTCGGTGCATTTGCAGCTTGAGCGATTTTTTTTATTTTATTTTTTTTGTCCTGAGCGCTCGCTGATTTTTGTTTGATTCAAGTGTTCTAGCTCTGCTGAGAACTCAGCCTGTTCTCCTCCAATGATCGGACTTGTCCTGACAGCCCCCTTCCCGGGAAGTTCATTGTACTGCTGTTTCTCCCCCCTTCCCCGCCAGCTCTCTGTTCTTTGCTGCATAAGGAGCTTAGAAGGAATGTGATCACTTATAAAATATGGAAAAAAGGTGTTTATAATGTTTTTTATATCTATACACAAATGTTTTGCCTTTCATTTCTATTTTAAACTGAATGGGTTGTTTTTCAAGGGTGGGTTTATATATACATTAATGTTTTCTGTTTTCTTGGTCATCATTGTTACCGAAAATCATGGAAAATCCAAAATGTTTCATTAGTCACCAGATCAGTTGATTTTTTTTTCAATTGGGGAAATCTGCTCTGATTATCCTCACTCTAGGAGTTCTGCTCACTTCCTGTTGTGTCTCTGGGGGCAGAAAGTAAAGGGGAAGTTTTTCCAATGGGACACAAATGGCAAACAAAACCTGACAGAGGTTCAAACTATTTCTTATTCCGTGCTACACAAAATAAAATGTTTTGCTTAGAGCAGGCATGTCCATAGTCCGGCCCGTGGGCCAATTGCGGCCCTTGTTCCGGTTTAATACGGCCCCACAGGTAATTTGGTAATATCTAAAAAGGAGAAAAACGCCTCTAAGTGCAATATGTGGTACATTTATTGAGGAACATAATGAGAAAAGCATGAAGAAAGAAAACGAAAGGCTTAGGCATATGTGGTGAAAGTGAAGGACATGGCGGCGTCCTCGATGTATACATCGTAGTAAGCACTGGAGGAGACTCGGAGATGTTCACAGGGAGCCGGCCGGCATGTGTGAGATCCAAAGATGGCGTCCGTAGTCCACCCTGGAGCGCAACGTCGTCGTCAGCGTGATGACGTAGGGATGTCCAGTATGCGATGCAACGCGTTCGGAGCATGCGTGAGGCCGATGGAAGGCAAAGGTGCGCTCCCTTCTCAAGCATTGAAGGAAATCAGTGAGAGTCATTTAGATTTTTCTTTTTAGGGGGAGAAACAAGTACAGATTTCAAATATGTCATGACCTGTATGTCAAGGTCCTACCTTTTCCTTGAGGTTATGTTACTCCATGTGCTGGCGTCCATCTTGGATTCTGCTGTGCATGATGGGAATCCTTTTATGCCTTCAGGTCTCTGTAGTCCATCCCCCAGAGGGGTGTGGCTGATGACATATAAGCCTGTGGCCCGCACATGCTCTTTGCACTTGTGTCTTGTGTCTTGGTGTTGCTATTACTCTGTTCTGACTCTCGTGACTCTCCTGGTATCTGATTCGGCTTGTGAATTGACTATTCTTTGTATTCTCCCTTGATCTGACCCTCTGTTGCTGAACCCGGCTCGTGACCTGTGATTCTCGTCTGCTGTCCTGTACTGTTTTGTCCTGTTGTTGTTGACCCGGCTTGTCTGACTACTCTTTTGTCTCTTCCACCAGCTACACGCCATTGGCGGCGGCCATTACCGCAGCTGAGGTGTCTCGGGGGCCGCGACCTGGTTCCTGGCTGCGTCAAGTCCATCCCCACCATCAGGGGCCCTGGTGAAGGGCAGCCTGGGACTTAGACTCCATGCCCTGAGGGACTTCGGTCTGTGGGTAGTGGTTGTCGTCAGCCAGTGCGTTACATTGTTAGGCCTGCCTGTCCCTTCCTCGGCCCCTGCCCTGACACTGTATCAGTCGCTCCTTTATCCATTAATTTTTTTTTTGCCGCAAAATGGTCGGCCCTCACGCATGTTCACTTCATCAAATCTGGCCCTCTTTGAAAAAAGTTTGGACACCCCTGGCCAGGGGTGGACTGACCATTCGAGCACTTGGGCACTGCCCGAGGGCCTGGGGTCAGCAGGGGGCCCCATGATCCCCTATTGCCCAGGGACCCCATGAGTTGTCAGTCCACCCCTGCCCCTGGCTTAGAGGTACAATTTAACAAATAAAGTGATGAACAATGTAGCCATTTAATCTAAGTGCATTACAGGTGCTACAATTCCCAAGTGTAGTATCTGTTACTTATCAGTGTCCAGCAGGGGTGCTCCACGGTCATTCTAGCTTTGCAGGGATGACTGTTTGTATAGTACCCCTGCTGGTATGATGGGGGTCTGGACGGCTAGTACCGGGGGGACAGAAACCGGGACGTCCACATGTAGCTGGGGCTTGGGAGTAAGTCCCCCGAGGAGACCGGAAGGACCCAGTTCCTCCTGATTTGGATGGATCTACCTTGTCTGGCCAGGGTCGGGAAGGCAGAGAGTCCGCAAACCAGTGCCCCTTGAGTAGTCGCCTCAGGGGTGCCACTAGTAACACCTGGGTGTGGGACCCCACAGTGTGAAGATGGCACATGGTCACTGATTTACCACTTTTTCTGCACAGCGCCCTTAGGACCAGGCCTTATGGCTAGGATCAAGGCAATTTTTGCTACAGGCCTCAGGGCCTGGTCTGTGCACTATTTGGCACGACCACTTTTTTATTTTCTATTTATTTACTTTATTCACTCCCACGTATTGTCACTTTTTCTTTACTTATGTGTGTGTTTTTCTCACAGGATGGAGGGTGTGGGTCCTCGGGCCTGCCCTGAAGTCTAGGGGGAGAATGTGTGGCCTTTTGGTTCCTTCCTCCCCTGATCCCTAGGGGGTTTTCTCTTCGGGAGAGCCCCCTGAGCAAGTACTGAGTGGCTGGCTTCGGCTGGACACAAGGAACGGTGGTCCACCAGGCTTTTTGGCCAGGAGGACCAAATGGGAACCTTGTCCCTGTCAGGAGCTTCGTGCCCCGGGGGATCAGGGTAGTGGTCCATCCCCTTCGGGGGAAGGACAAAGCAAACCCCTAAGTGCACTTTTTCGTGTGGTGTTTTGCACTTGCACTTTTTTTGTGAACACTTACGGGTTTTTCGTTATAGTTGCACGTTTGCGGACTTAAAAAAAAAAAAAAAAAAAACAGGTGCTACAATTCCTCTGATGATGGAAGTCTTTTAACATCCACATGGTGATGCTGGAAATCTGTTACATTCATTTTTTTTGCTATGGTGGAATTTACCTGTGACCCCCTTTCAGAATGGGATCCCTTTAAAGGTTGCATGGAAGCTTCTGGTGTAGACAGTGTTGGAGCTCCAGGTTATACGTTTGTCAATTTCTATAATTTATTTTTTTTTTTTTCTTATAATTTTCATGTAGGGTCCAATAGACACCTGGTAGAATTTAATGGTGGACTCGGCTCTAAGCAGCTCTCTTGGTTGGATGAGGTCCTCACATATTGTGACCAACAAAACGAGAGGGTCATCATTGCTGGTAAGTCCTCTTGCTAATAACAATTTAAGTGCACTACAGTCTATGACAGTGGTTCTCAACCTTTCTAATGCCGCGACCCCTTAATACAGTTCCTCATGTTGTGGTGACCCCCAACCATAAAATTATTTTCGTTGCTACTTCATAACTGTCATTTTGGTGTGCCACAACAGTGGTGTCAGTGGGGAATAGTGTCCCATCACTGATGTCAATGGGAGGAATAGTGCCCCATCATTGGTATCAGTGGTAGGAATAGTGCCCCATCATTGGTGTCAGTGGTAGGAATAGTGCCCCATCATTGGTGTCAGTGGGAGGAATAGTGCCCCATCATTGGTGTCAGTGGGAGGAATAGTGCCCCATCGTTGGTGTCAGTGGGAAGTATAGTGCCCCATCGTTGGTGTCAGTGGGAGGAATAGTGCCCCATCGTTGGTATCAGTGGGAGGAATAGTGCCCCATCGTTGGTATCAGTGGGAGGAATAGTGCCCCATCGTTGGTATCAGTGGGAGGAATAGTGCCCCATCGTTGGTGTCAGTGGGGGGAGGAATAGTGCCCCATCATAGGTGTCAGTGGGGGGAATAGTGCCCCATCATTGGTGTCAGTGGGGGGAATAGTGCCCCATCATTGGTGTCAGTGGGGGGAATAGTGCCCCATCATTGGTGTCAGTGGGGGGAATAGTGCCCCATCACTGGTGTCAGTGGGAGGAATAGTGTCCCATCACTGTGTCAGTGGGAGGAATAGTGTCCCATCACTGGTATCAGTGGGAGGAATAGTGCCCCAACACTGATGTCAGTGGGAGGAATAGTGCCCCATCATTGGTATCAGTGGGAGGAATAGTGCCCCATCATTGGTATCAGTGGGAGGAATAGTGCCCCCATCATTGGTGTCAGTGGGAGGAATAGTGCCCCATCATTGGTATCAGGGGGAGCAATAGTGCCCCAACATTGGTGTCAGTGGGAGGAATAGTGCCCCATCGTTGGTATCAGTGGGAAGTATAGTGCCCCATCGTTGGTGTCAGTGGGAGGAATAGTGCCCCATCGTTGGTGTCAGTGGGAGGAATAGTGCCCCATCGTTGGTATCAGGAGGAGCAATAGTGCCCCAACATTGGTGTCAGTGGGAAGAATAGTGCCCCATCATTGGTATCAGTGGGAGGAATAGTGCCCCATCCTTGGTGTCAGTGGGAGGAATAGTGCCCCATCGTTGGTGTCAGTGGGGGGAGGAATAGTGCCCCATCGTTGGTGTCAGTGGGGGGAGGAATAGTGCCCCATCATTGGTATTAGTGACACCAATGATTGGGCACTATTCCTCCCACTGACACCAATGATACTTACCTTGCTGACCCCTGCTCCAGCCTGGGCTCGCTCGCTCCCTCCCTCTCCCATGGTACAGACACTTACCGGTCAGATGTCTTCCTTCTCCGGCCGCTCTCCTCCTCTTCACTCGCTCGATCTTCGCGGTGCTGCTCGGCTCCTCCTTTCCAAGCTCCACCTCCTCGCCGGTGATTGGCCGCCTGTGTGCCTCTCCTGAGCTACAGTTCCGGCGGCCAATCACCGACAAAGGATTGATCCCGGGGGTGTGTCCAGATGACAGGGACGGCATGTCATCCCGCCCACACCTGGAGACAGATAGAGGAGCGGTGTCTCGGTTCCTAAGGCCATCGGAAATATGTGTTTTCCGATGGTCTTAGGCGACCCCTGGGAAAGTGTCGTTCGACCCCCAAAGGGGTCGCGACCCCCAGGTTGAGAACCGCTGGTCTATGAGTTATGCCTAATACACATGCTGAGAATCACTGGGAGCGATCGTCCGATAATCTGATCAATTAATACACAGCTTTCGAGAGCTGATCACGATAGTTCAAGCGGAAATATCTGAAGGGACAAGCATGAAAGTTTTTCTCGTAAGATAACAGAATTAACAATTTTTGTGTAATTAGTATAGTGTTTGCACAAAAATACCAAGACCGTGCATGCTCAGAAATGAAAGAATACAATACATTACATCATTTCCAAAGTTGGATTTTGTCTTACGAACATTTTGCTAACTTTAGTAACCTATTAGTTTTCAGTATGAGACTAGCATGCAAAAAATCAGATGATCATTCGTCCGATATTCTCATCGTCTGTAGTAGGCATTAGTCCACCCATAAATGACTCTATAAAGTGGAGAATGTTTGTGTCTCTGCCCCTCCCACAATGGGAAGATTTCCTGCAGTAGTATGTGATTCTATCCCTCCCACACTGGAGAGATTTCCCAGGAACAGTTTGTGTCTCTGCCCCTCCCAAAATGGTAAGATTTCCCTTCAGTAGTTTGCGTCTCTGCCCCTCCCACAATGGTAAGATTTCCTCAGTAGTTTGCGTCTCTGCCCCTCCCACAATAGTGAAAAATCCTCCCAGTAGTTTGTGTCTCTGCCCCTCCCACAATGGGAGATTTCCCTGCAGTAGTTTGTGTCTCTGCCCCTCCCACAATGGGGAGATTTCCCTGCAGTAGTTTGTGTCTCTGCCCCTCCCACAATGGGGAGATTTCCCTGCAGTAGTTTGTTTCTCTGCCCCTCCCACAATGGGGACATATCCTGCTGTAGTTTGCGTCTCTGCCCCTCCCACAATAGGGAGATTTCCCTGCAGTAGTTTGTGTCTCTGCCCCTCCCACAATGATGAGATTTCCCTGCAGTAGTTTGTGTCTCTGCCCCTCCCACAATGGGAGATTTCCCTGCAGTAGTTTGTTTCTCTGCCCCTCCCACAATGGGGACATATCCTGCTGTAGTTTGTGTCTCTGCCCCTCCCACAATGGGGAGATTTCCTCCAGTAGTTTGTGTCTCTGCCCCTCCCACAATGGGGAGATTTCCCTGCAGCAGTCAGTGTCTCTGCCCCTCCCACAATGGGGAGATTTTCCTGCAGCAGTCAGTGTCTATGCCCCTCCCACAATGGGGAGATTTCCCTGCAGCAGTCAGTGTCTCTGCCCCTCCCACATTGGGAAGGTTTCCCTGCAGTAGTTTGTGTCTCTGCCCCTCCCACAATGGTGAGATTTCCTGCAGTAGTTTGTGTCTCTGCCCCTCCCACAATGGGGAGATTTCCTCCAGTAGTTTGTGTCTCTGCCCCTCCCACAATGGGGAGATTTCCCTGCAGCAGTCAGTGTCTCTGCCCCTCCCACAATGGGGAGATTTTCCTGCAGCAGTCAGTGTCTCTGCCCCTCCCACAATGGGAAGGTTTCCCTGCAGTAGTTTGTGTCTCTGCCCCCCCCCCCCACAATGATGAGATTTCCCTGCAGTAGTTTGTGTCTCTGCCCCTCCCACAATGATGAGATTTCCATACAGTAGTTTGTGTCTCTGCCCCTCCCACAATGCGGAGATTTCCTGCAGTAGTTTTGTGTCTCTGCCCCTCCCACAATGGGGAGATTTCCTGCAGTAGTTTGTGTCTCTGCCCCTCCCACAATGGGGAGATTTCCTGCAGTAGTTTGTGTCTCTGCCCCTCCCACAATGGGGAGATTTCCTGCAGTAGTTTGTGTCTCTGCCCCTCCCACAATGGGGAGATTTCCTGCAGTAGTTTGTGTCTCTGCCCCTCCCACAATGGGAAGGTTTCCCTGCAGTAGTTTGTGTCTCTGCCCCTCCCACAATGGGAGAGGTTTCCCTGCAGTAGTTTGTGTCTCTGCCCCTCCCACAATGGGGAGATTTCCTGCAGTAGTTTGTGTCTCTGCCCCTCCCACAATGGGAAGGTTTCCCTGCAGTAGTTTGTGTCTCTGCCCCTCCCACAATGGGGAGATTTCCCTGCAGTAGTTTGTGTCTCTGCCCCTCCCACAATGGGAAGGTTTCCCTGCAGTAGTTTGGTCTCTGCCCCTCCCACAATGGGGAGATTTCCTGCAGTAGTTTGTGTCTCTGCCCCTCCCACAATGGGAAGGTTTCCCTGCAGTAGTTTGTGTCTCTGCCCCTCCCACAATGGGGAGATTTCCTGTAGTAATTTGTGTCTCTGCCCCTCCCACAATAGTAAGTTTGTGTCTGTAGCCCAGTGGTTCTTAATCTTTTTTCAGTCAAGGCACCCTTTAAATTCTGCACAATCTCAAGGCACCCAATCTCAATTGTAAAAAAACTGTTCTACACAAATCGCTTACTCCCAACGTTAGAGGGGATTTATTCTTCCACAGCAAACACACCTTTGCACACTGGTACTGACTAGTAATCCAGTCATTTTCTCTCCCTCGCTCTGCTAATGTGACCCCAGTGCTGATGGAGAGGGGCAGGAGAGGGCCAAGCAAGGATGATGTGCATGCACCCAACGTCCTCCTTATCAACCGATGATGTCATTGGTTGTTAGGATGCTGGCGACTAGAAGGTCATAAAGGTGCGCAATGAAAATCTACGGCTTAGTGTACTAAAAGGAAGGATTGATCCACCTGCTGGCTTGTATACAATTTTTGGGCATTTGCCAAGGCACCCCTGAAGAAGCGTGAAGGCACCCTGGTTGAGAAAGGCTGCTGTAGCCAACAGTAGTGACATTTCCCCCCATTATTTTGTGTTTCCACCCCTTCCATATTGGTGAGATTTCCCCAGGGTGGTTTGTGTCTCCATCCCTTCAACAAGGCCATAGTGTGGGTGTCACATCTCACAGCTGGCCTCCCTGATTTTTGGTTTATAATGAGACTTGATAGGGGGGGGGGGGGCAGAGTGTTTGGTGTACACCAGTAATTGGGTTTTTCAGATTTCACAATAGAACAAAAAAAAAAAAAAAAAACCTGAAAACCTGAGAAATGTGAAACAAGGTTTTCCTTATGAAATTGATATTTTCCATTAACAATTCAGCAAAGAACCATCTCTGTATATCAAAATCTTACTTTGTTCCCATTATTACAGGTCACGTTCCTATCCACCCTGAGGCCAAACGCACCCCTTGCCTGGCATGGAACTACAAAGACATCCTCCAAGTCATCCAGTCAGTGTTTGGGTCACATCAGAGTGTGGTGTGTTACTTTGCTGGACATGATCACAGTGGGGGGTATCACCAGGACTCGCACGGTATACATCATGTCACTATGGAAGGGGTTATTGAGTCCCCTCCTGACTCTAATGCATTTGGGACAGTGGATATATATGAAGACAGGATGGTCCTACGGGGAAGAGGAAGAGTGAAGAACAGAGTCCTCATCTATCGGGAGATGCACCCATCCTTCTGCTGCTGCCTTCCCGGCCTTACATGTGAGAAAAATACAAACTTGAAATGAGTGCATTGGCTGGTGGCTCACTGCAAATTGGCCAAATCACCCATTGAATGGTCATTGCGGAAAGCACTCTCAGGGTTCATTATGCAGCACTTACAGAACCCAGCTTTGGAGGAACCATGGTTGGGAGAGAATGGTGTACACATTGCACTGCAACCCAATTAAGCAGTTTGCTATTTATATTTATTGTCTGCAAAAAGAAATAGTATTGGTGATCTGTTATTACTATATATAGATGCTGCTGACATTTATAATGCAAATTGAAATGACTCCTGTGGTGCTTGGAAATCTGACGGCACTGGAACATTTACACCAAAGGACACCCAAGGAACTTTAGAAATTGAGGACGAACTTCTTAGCAACTATGTACAAAAAATGTGGAATAGCAGGAACAAAAAAAAAATTCAGCACTGCCCCTTTTTCTTGGTGGCGTACTTCCTCAGACCCCGGATGAATCCTCCTTCTCATCCAGCTGTATTGAAGGTATCCCTGAGCAAGTGAGGTCCAAGACCATGGCATTAAGCAGTCCCAGATGAAGAATAGTTGTGTATTACACCTGACCGCCCCCTCCCCTTATCTGGCCTAGGGGGTGTAGGAGCTTCTCGGCCTTTTGGCTAAGATCAAGTGTAGTATCTGTTCTTATCAGTGTCCAGTGGGGGTGCTCCCGACCACTCTGTCTTTGTGGGGTTGGTTGGATAGTACCCTCACTGGTATGATGGGGGTCCGGAAGGCTGGACCGGAGGGACAGAAACCGGGGAGCGCCATGATTCGTTCTGGGGCCTCGGGAGTAATTCCTCTGGGAAGGCTGGAAAGACCCAGTACCTCCTGATTTGAGCAAGCTACCTTGGTCTGGCCAGGGGCTGGGGACGCAAAAAGTCCGCAAACTCAGTGCCCCCTGGGGAGACGCGCTCAGGGGTGTCACTAGTAACACTTGGGTGTGGGACCCCACGGTGTGAAAATGACACTTGGTCACTGTTTTTACACATCTTTTTGCACAGCGCCCTAAGGACCAGGCCTTTTGGCTAAGTCCAGGGCAATTTTTTGCTACGGGCCTCAGGGCCTGGTATGTGCACAATTCGGCACGGAACCACTTTTTTATTTTTTCTTTACTTTATCTTCTATTTATTTATTATGCACTTCCCACGTTTTGTCACTTTTTACTTTACTTATGTGTGTGTTTTCACGGATGGAGGGTGTGGGTCCTCGGGCCTACCCTGAAGTCTAGGGGAGGATGTGTGGCCATACGGTTCCTTCCTCCCCTGATCCCTAGGGGACTCTTCTTCGAGAGAGTCCCCTTGCCTAGTACTGGATGTCCGGCTTCGGCTGGGCATAGGGAACGGTGGTCCACCAGGCCTTTTGGCCAGGAGGACCAATTGGGAACCTTGTCCCCGTCAGGAGCTTCGTGCCCTGGGGGATCAGGGTAAGCGGTCCAAGCCCCTTTAGGGGTAGGACACAGCACACCCCTAAGTGCACTTTTTCGTGTGGTGTTTTGCACTTGCACTTTTTTTGTGAACACTTACGGGTTTTTTTCGTTACAGTTGCACGTTTGCGGACTTAAAAAAAAAAAAAAAAAAAGGGGGTGTAGGAGTACTCACACAGTCCTCGCCTTCTAGCATGGTGGGTTAGAGGCTGCCTTCAGGCCTTACGCTGGACTGGCTCCTTACCTGCTAACAGGTTGTCCTCCCAAAGAGACATTGAGGCAGTAGAAATCTCTTGACAAGCAACCAGCCTGGTTCTAGGCTCCCCTCTCTGGGGCCCCCGCCCAGGCTCCACACTCCAGTCTTCCTCTCAGTCCATCTTCCACCCAACTCCCCTGCTAGCATGGCTGTCTCATATGTATAGGCTAGTTTACCACACTACCAGTGCCTCTTAGCCTGGGGTTGGTCAGACTCCATGAATATGCAGAAGCAGGTCTCCACCGACTGGCTTCTGGAAGCTTCCATGGACCTCCAGAACCAGGTGGAAGTGATAGAGTCCCAACCTGCTGAGTCATCCAGCCTGACCTCACACTGAACCCAAAGTAAATCAGGCTCACTCACTACCATGAGCTAAAAATAAATTTACCTTACACTAGCTCCACCTAGTGATCGCTACACATTCATCAGGTTAAACGCATTTCTAAGGCCAGACCAAGTTAGAACCTCAAAATGTTAATCTGAAGTTCACTAAAGCTGGCCATGCATGGATCAAAATTCATCTGGTTCACCAGCGATCATCTGAATTTAGATCCATATATGGGCTAGCTGGTTGTACAACTGGCCAGTCAGGTTTTTCCTGGATGATCAGTGCAGCCGGCTATAGCCAGCGACACTGATCATTGTATCCCCACTGGCAGAACACAATAGTGCTGTGGTAAGGATTGCCCTGATCAGCACATAGTGTGTTGGTGGGGGAATCGGCACATATATTTTTCTTTCCACACGCTTTAAAATGTATGGCCTGCCTTACTCTATGCATTTAGATTGTCCAGAAATGGTTGTTTTTAACCATTAGTTCCACCAACAGAACCTGTCATTTTTTGAAAGGATGTGGGCCAGCAGAGTCTTGATGTTTGCAAGTATACCGTATTTAAAGCAATGCTGTTATCTAGATTAAACTTCCAAAAAAAGTTTCCTTGCAAAGAATAAAGTAAACACTTCTGCTGATCTGTACTACGAGGGGCGTTCAAGTCAAATCGGGACTTTTCATTTTCCAGGAGCTAGCATGGAGGTGCTACACGCAGTAATAAGTGGCAAGTGTGTCCTATTACCAATAGGCGGCGCACATATCGAGGGCCAGTCCAGAGACCGTTAATCAAGATGGCATACAACAGTGTTAATGCGTGGTGCATGGAACAGCGTGTGGTTTCTTGTCAACTAAGGCATAAAACCCGCGGATATCTACAGAAGACTTCAAGCACAGTACGGTGGTGAGACGCTCAGCTGCACTAAGACATTTGAATGTTGTAAACATTTCAAAGATGCCGCACATCCATCAGTGATGATCCCGGCCATTGTGGTTCCACCAGACGCGATTTCTCCTGCGCTCTAGGACCCAGGCGGGTGGCATGTGGATGGAACCAGAACTGGAAAAAGCGACCACCAGTGTATATAAGGTTGTGCAGCTCCAAACAAGGCTGGGGAAGCCCGACCAATACTGCTAAGTGAAACAAAAACGGAAAGCGCACCAACCATTACCTCAGTAGCCAAAATGTATTAATTAAAAAATGGTACTCACAAAAGCGAATAAAATCAGGCATGTAAGTCCTCAGAGGGTCTTCAAAGATAAGGAGCCAGCACGAATCCCATCATGGGGGTAGACACTCAGTACAGCTGATGCGTTTCGAAGGCCATGCCTTCTTCCTCAAAGACATGGCCTTCGAAATGCATCAGTTGTACTGAGCGTCTACCCCCATGATGGGATTCGCGCTGGCTCCTTATCTTTGAAGACCTTTGAGGACTACATGCCTGATTTTATTCGCTGTTTGTGAGTGCCATTTTCTAATTAATACATTTTGGCTACTGAGGTAATGCGCAAGGTTAGTGCGCTTCTCGTTTTTGTTTCACTTTGCAGCATTGTGGTTCCACAGCAGTCATTCCTGTGAACATATAGCACGTGGAATGTCTGATCTCGGATAATGCGGGCTCACCACCACCCAAAAATACTTTGAACAATTGCGTCTGCAGGTAAAGTGATGGCAAGTGTTTTCTGGAACAAACAAGGAGTCATTCATGTGAATTTTCTAAATGAGGAAAGAACAAACAGAGGGCACACAGGCCTAGTGCATTACCATAAAAAATGTTTAATAAGAAATAAAGTATGTGTTGTACTCACAAATGACAATAAAGTCAAGGCACGTCATAAAAGAACAGCTGGATCAACACCACGCTGAGCTACAGTCTGCAATAGGGAGTGTAGACATCCAATAGGCTGACGCATTTCGAGGACTTGCCTCTTCCTCATATTGACAGTTACAAGCATGACTCCCAAAGGCAGGGGCATGATGGGACTTGTAGTTTCGCAACAGCTGGAGGGCCGCCAGTTTGACACCCCTTGTCAGGTGACCAGAAGTGTGTGGACTGACACAGGGAAACGCAGGTTTCAGATATAGTAAATAATATAATTTATTGACTAACAATACAAACGCAGTGCAAACAAACTGAACCAAACCTCCAACAGATAACAAACATACGATACAAGAGTAGTCAGGCAGGCCGGGTCATAGCAAATGGGCAAACAGAGTACCAGGAGCAGGCGGGAGAGTGGTCAGGACTAGCCGAGGTCAGTACAGGCAGAGTTCAGGCAGCGTCAGGACAGCAGAAACAGGATCAGGAAACCAGGGCCAAGCAAACAGTACAACAAGGCACTGACTGCAGGTCTGGCCATCCCTTAAATACACCACCTGCAATCAGCCCCAGGTGATGGCTAATTGCCAAAGTGAGCCTCTGGTTGTTGAGAGCACCCGCTGGCCAGCCCTGGTACTGCAGCCCACAAGGCAGGTGAGTCCCACCACTATTGGCAAGTCCATTCCTGACACCCCTGCTATAAACTATATTCTGTCATATTACTCAGTTGCTCATTTCGACACATCTTACTGGACAAAGAAGAAAGGAGGATGGAACACCGCACTCAGGTGTAAGGAAGAATGAAAGCAGCTTCAGTCCGACTCCTGGCAGATCACATTCCAACGCATTTCGCCCCATTGACAGGGCTCAGTCGTAGGGCCTCTTTGAATGCAAAGTGCCTTCCTCCTTTCTTCTATGTATATACGCCAGCACCTGCATGTAACGTGAGCCACTGTTGTAGGATGGGACCAACGCGTTTTGCCCCATTGACAGGGCTCAGTCGTAGGGCCTCTTTGAAAGCAAAGTGCCTTCCTCCCTTCTTCTGTGTATATACGCCAGCACCTGCACTTAATGTGAGCCACTGTTGTAGGATGGTACCAACGCGTTTCGCCCCATCGACAGGGCTTAGTCGTAGGGCCTCTTTGAATGCGGAAAGCCTTCCTCCCTTCTTCTGTGTAT